AGGGTCCGTCAGTGAAAGGTACGCATTCGCCAGAGGTCACTCACGTTCGCGAAAGAGGAATTCTGGTCAACATTATTTTTGTTCAACGCGAACGCGAGGCTTTGACCGCGTTCGCGAAGAAGGAATTAACTGGGCAGATATAAAGATTCAAAAACGAGGGTTTGGCCATTTTTATCAAAATTTGAGTTTGGGAGCTCGGATTTGGACGAGATTTTGAGGGATTTTCAGAGACATCAATTGGGTAATGATTCTACACTTGATTTTGGTTATATCCCACTAATCTATCATTAATTTCATCATTAAATTTTGGATTTGGGTTAAAAATTGGGGAAAATGGAAAGAAGTTCTTCAACTAAGATTTTGGGTTTTGATTGGGATTTTGACATCGAATTTAGATAAATTTGGTATGGTTGGACTCGTGAGTGAATGGGCTTTCGGGTTTTGTGACTTTTGTCGGATTTTGAGACGTGGGCCCAGGGCTGACTTTTGGTCAATTTCGGATTTTGGCTTGTAATTTTGTATTTTTCTTGTGGAATTGATTCCTTTAGCCTATATTAATTATCTTGTACTGCTTGTGGCTAGATTCGGGGCATTTGGAGACTGATTCGAGGGGCAAAGGGATTGCAGAGTAGAATTTTGCGCGGTTTGAGGTAAGTAACAGTCTTAAATCTGGTTTTGAGGGTATGAAACCCCGAGAATTGGTATGATGTGAGTGTTTGGAGGTGACGCACATGCTAGGTGACGGGCGTGTGAGCGTGCACCGCGGGGGATTGTGACTTGGTCCGTCCCGTGAGACTGTACAGTCGAATAGCCATTGTTATTACTTGTTTTTCCTTGTCTTTGAGAAATTGATTGCCTTTCATGTTAGAAACCATGCTTAGGCCATATGATATCACTGTTGGGACCCGCAACGGTCGTATACTTGTTGAATTGAATGCTAATTGTTTTCTTGTACTTAGTCACAATCTTACTTGTGTGTTATATCTATGTTCCCTCTCATTTCTTGTTGATACTTGTTGTATTCTCTGTTTGGGCTGATAATTATGATATTCCTTGAATCCGAGGGGCTGGAGAAGTCAATGACTGATGTAAGGCCTGAGTGCCGAACTGTGAGCTATGTTAGGGTATATGGATCGGGTTGCATGCCGTAATGAGCCTTATGGCTATTTATGGATTGTGGATCGGGTTGCACGCCGCAACGAGCCTTATGGATACTTATATGATTGGTTCGGGCTGTACGCCGTAGCGATATAGCGCTTGGGCTGAAAGGAGACCCTCCGGAATCTGCACACCCCCAGTGAGTGCAGGTACCTATTGAGTGTGAGTATTGAGGGCTGAGAGCCGAGTGATTGAGCTGTTGTGACATTTTGAGTGTTTGTTGCCCTGAGAGGCTGTACTTGTTTTTCATTTGTTGATGCACTTAGTTGCTATCTGTCATTGTTGTGAAATTTCTGAAAGATTCTATATCTGGATTACCTGCACTGTAACTGTATAAACGGATTTGACTTGAACTGCGGGATTTTAAAGCATGTCTACTCTTTGCCGGAATTATTGAAAATAAACTGTATTTGTATAGCTCGTTACTACCTTCTCAGTTCCTTATTTATTTCTGTTACTTGCTAAGTTGCTGGAAATTTAGTAGATATAAACGAAAAATTTTTTAAGTTGTTCCACTTGTGTGTCTTTCAAAAATAAAACTCATATCTTATTCGAAGATCTACTAATTTAAATGGTTATTATATTTTTAGTCTAATTGATACCTCCACTTCCTCATTATCTTATTGTCGTGTAATTTATGTGAAAAATTGTTATTATGTTTTACTTTAATAAATCTCATATTTATTGCGTTAAATATTTGATTGAATGTCTTAAATTGTATAAATACAATATTATATTGGATCTCATATATTTCTAAACTAAACTCAATTGATATTCTATTTGCACAACCTCTTCACTATTTTACCTTATTTAAATCTTAAATTGGCTTAATAACTCATTTGACGCTTTACTATATTCAAGTTGGAATTGTCTTGAATCGTGTTTAAATTATTCATCATTTTATGGTAAGGACGAGAGTAAAAGCACGAAGGGTGATGCCGTGCCATTTTTATATTCTTTGTACTCTAACTGTGTGGTTGCTCAATTGCTTGATTGTTTGCTCGATGTCATCCATGTTCCCATTATTTTCATTGTTGATTTGTATGGGAAATTCTTCTATTATTGGCCTTACATTGATACTCTTTCCTTGTCAGCTTCATGTAACATATTGTACAGCTTTATATGTCTGGTAGGTGTCTTGACATGGCCTCGTCACTACTCTACTGAGGTTAGGGTTGATACATACTGGGTACCGCTGTGGTGTACTCATATTATGCTTCTGCACATCTTTTTGTGCAAATCTAGGTACCCCAGAGTTATTGATATTCTTGTTAGTTGATCGAGCATTGTTATGGAGACTCAAGGTATACCTGTTGTCGCGTTCGCAGGCTTCGGAGTCACCTTTTGAAATTTTCTTTGCACTGTTTGATTCTATTCTAGAACAGTTGTAATTAGAGATTTTCTAGTAAACTCTGTAGAGCTTCTGACTTGTACTACCGGTTTTGGGATTGTAGAAAATTTCTATTTCAGATTATTCCAGATAATTGGTTTCTTTATTACCATTTAAACTGAACTATTAAAAATGAATAAAATTATTCTAACGTTGGCTTGCCTAGAAAGTGAAATGTTAGGCGTCATCATAGTCCCGAAGGAGAAAATTTCGGGTCGTGACACGTCACTACTTCGTCGAGGTTAGGCTCGGCACTTACAGAGTACATGGGGTCAGTTGTACTCATACTACACTCTGCACTTCTTGTGCAGATACCGGAGTTAGTCCCAGCGGCGTACTGTAGATTTACTCGGATTCAGCCATCAAAGAAGACTTGAGCTATAGCTGCACAACGTTTGCAGCTTTGAAGTCCCCTTCTACTTTATCTTAGTTGTGTTCTTCCTTTCAGACATCTTTATTTTTATTCAGACCCTTGTTTGTATTAGTTTAGAAGCTCGTGCACTTGTGACTCCAGTTCTGGGATGATATTTAGACATCGTATTTATTTCAGCTTGTTCACCTAAAATCATATGTTATTCCAGTTGTTGATTTCATTGCTATTTAATTAAGTTGAATTTTTAAAAATGGTTAAAATTATTCTAACGTTAGCTTGCCTAAAAAGTAAAATTTAGGCGCCATCACGGTCGCGAAGGTGGGAATTTCGGGTCGTGACAGCGAAGAACAAACTCAGCAACCTCATAAAATACTTTACGTGATCGCGCAATAGCCCATGCAAACGAGATGGTTACCTTCATCTGAGTTACGCGATCACAACAAATACAATGCGAACGCGAAGAAGAAGAAGCCACTGCCCAGTGCAGTCTAAACCACTACGCGAACGCGGGAGTTCTTGCGTGAACGCAATGCACAAACAATAGCAGTCTACGCAAATGCGTCTGAGGACTCGCGAACGCGAAGAAGAAGAAGAAATACTCTACTCAATTTTTTCCTTACGCGATCGCACCTCTAAGTCCGCGATCGCGAAGAACCTTTAGTGCACCAGACTTCAGCAGAAACCAACAATGCGATATGAAGGAGAAATGGTCCGAAATCGATCCAAAACATGCCTGAGCCCCTCGGGACCACATTCGAACATTCCAACAAGTCTCGTATCATAACACGGACCTACTCGAGGCCTCAAATCACACATAACAACATCAAAACGATGAATCGCACCTCAAATCAAAATCAATGAACTTTCAACTTTCAACTTCTAAGAAACATATCAAATCAATCCGGAATGAACTCAAATTTTGCACACAAGTCCCAAATGACATATCGAAACGATTCCAATCCCCGAAACCACAATCTGAATTCGATATCCTCAAAGTCAACTTTCGGTCAAACTTATGAACTTTCCAAACTTTCATATTTCTAACTTTCGCCAATTAGTGCAGAATCCTTCTAGAAATATCTAAATGCAAATCCGGGCATACGCCCAAGTCCAAAATCATCATCCGAGCCTAACGGAACTATCAAAATTCCAATCCGAGGTCAAATATTAAAAAGTCAAACTTGGTCAACTCTTCCAACTTAAAGCTTCAATCATGAGGTTCATTCTTCCAAATCGATTCCCAATACCTGAAAAAATCAAAACCGACGATTTACACAAGTCATAATACATCATGCGGAGACACGCATGCCCTCAAATTACCGAGTGAAGTGCAAATGCTCAAAACGACTGGTCGGATCATTACATCAAAAGTCTCTCAAAAACGTATTTTTGGTGTATTTATACCATGTATAAACGGGTCGAGANCCATGTGTCACCCCATGCGTCGTGCCAATGAGAAAGTTTAGAGAGCATGTTCTTCAAACTTGCTTCTTCACTCAAAATCACATCCTACACAGCATAACACACGTAATAAGTACAAAGTACTAGCAATTAAGCTCAATTACAATCAAAGTATAGCAGTTAAAGTGCGAAATATAGTAAAAAAAATATAAGTTCCTAGCTTATCATCAATCTATTATAGTGTAAAAAAATCAGATTAACTTTAAAATAATTACAAAATACCTTTATGATAAATATTAATAGTAATTGATAACCCAACAAATATAGTAACAAACGTGTTATTACATGTCAAACTGGGTATAAAAGGACTTTAATTATACAACAACAATAACAACAACCCAGTATAATCTCAGTAGTGGGGTCTAGGGAGGGTAGTGTGTACGCAGACTTTATCCCTACAATAAGGTAGAGAGGCTGTTTCCAATAGACCCTCGGCATCCTTCTCTCCAAGAACTACCCACCTTGCTCTTGGGTGACTCGAACTCACAACCTCTTGGTTGAAAGTGGAGGTTGCTTACCATTAGAGCAACCCCTCTTGTTAATATGAATTGTATATACTGATAATTATATATACTGATAATATGAATTCTACATTATCCATGTTTATAAGATTGTAAATTCTTTCTTTCTACCTTCTTTCTTCATTTTCCCACTATTTCTTCTACTTCCTTAATTCTTTGCTCTCCTCAGTCATCCTCAAACTTTTCTGCTCAAAACTCACAGTATACCAACTGCGCCATTATGCATTTATCAGATCTTGGTTTCATCTTGTGATAATTTGTCTTAATTTCACTATATAATATATCTTTGTGTATTACTTTATCTCCAATGGAGTACTACTGCAGTGTCAGATGGAGGATTATTATACAGAAAAAGCTCCTTCTCTTTTTCGCAATCTCTTTCTTCTTCTCAGTTCTTGCAGGCTACAATACCCTCAAATCTACAAGTCTCTTTGGTAAGTGTCTGCTTAATTTCATAGTTAAACATACACTTATGAGGTAGCCTGCAAAGGGGATTAATTTCAGCCCAAGTAGTATATATACCTACATTGTTTTTTGACTTATTTACACATTTAATTTCCGGTGAAAAAGTGTCGGTTGACTCCCTTTAAACAAGGGTAGCTCTACCCATATAATAAATATAGAATTTAAGTATCTTTGTATGATCAGTGTAACTTTCTTTCAGTCTCTTAATTATTCTCGGGCTAAGTTTTATAGGAAAATGAGGTTGTATAATCGCTCTCAAATTATTAGTCAAAAAAAAAGAATTGTAAATTATATATATGTATATAATATAAAAATTATAAAAATTTTATGCACTTTTGATATGACCAGATATAAATAATTTTGATCGCGGGTTAAAAGTAATTTTTATTCGAGTTTTATTGACATTAAGATATTTTTGTTATTAATGCTACATTGTTGTTATTAATGCTAACAATATTGGTGCAATTTAACTTTTTGCGGGAGGTTACTTTCTTTGTTTTATCAGGTTGCTTAATTATATTGATTATGAGTAGTTATCTTTGATTAGTTTAAGATGACATGATAGTTTATAATGTTTATAGAATCAGTTATGGCTAAGTGTAAATTTTCCTTTTGACCTTCATGCTCTTTCCCATTTTCATCTTTTGCAGAAATCAATTTTGCGTTCGCTGCTAAAGCTGATTTTTCCTTTCAGGTCTGTTCGCTTAACTGACTATATGTAATTTTCTAACTATGGTCAGAGTAGAATTTTGGTAATATGCACAAATTTAATTGCAATTTCTTTTTTTTTTTATGTTAGTATATTTACTTTAGGTTCGATATGTATTTGAAGCCGCTTTAGTCTTTTTAGAGTTCATGCACCCCGTTAAAAATGTAAAAATGATAATAGTAGTAATTGTTGTATATAGAGAGATTTTAGTGTGTTAATTAGTACTATCAAGTTATTTATCTTAATAATTCACATTTTACTACAGAAAATTTTGTGTACACATTTTGCATAAACAATAATCTCTTTAGGTTTAGTTACCTAATTGGGAATATCTTAGTATTATCTATCTCAAATACTCCCTCCATTCCTTTTTACTTATCCATTATATAAAAAATATAGTATTTTTATTTTTACTGGTCAATTTTAACAATTTAAGAGAAAGATAATATCTTTTTTTATTTTACTCTTATCATTAACTGCCCATTCTTGACTTTTTGAAATGCTATCATTATTATAGATAAATTTGTAAATTATAACTTCTATTTTTTTAAAGGGAGTACAAAGTTAAAAGTTAAAAGAGGACAACTGAAAATAAAAGTTCTTTAAAACTAAATATAAAAAGTTAAAAGAGGACAACTAAAAATAAACGGAAAGAGTAAAAGGTAGATTTTCTAATTATAAAATTATAATTTTGAATTTTTCCCTTGTTTTTTCCAATGATCAAGTCCATCCAACAATAGGAAAAGTCAAGGCGTGCACGCTAACATCTAGATGAGAAACACAGTCTTAATTTGTCCTCATCTTAATCGCTCTTCCTGTCTTCTCAACTTCAACCGGCGCATTGAACGGAACCATGTTCCTATGTTTCTTCGTAATTATTTAAAAAGATAATTTCATGTATAAAATATTTCGTATTTATGTAGGGTCTAAGAAAATATCGTATTTTAAAGGGTATGGCATAAATAATTTATCGTAATACAAATATTAATGGTTGTTTTCACGACTTGATCTCGTGACCTAAAAGTCACAAATAGACAATTTTATTGTTGCTCTATCTCCAAGACTCCCCTTCTTTTCCATAATTATTTATATCGGATAAATTTATTCGTATCTGATATTTATATTAAACTAATAAATATACATTATATATTTACGCATATATTTCTAGCACTTAATCTTGATTATAAATTAATGTGCATTCTTACCATATATATATATATATATATATACTCGTGAATTCTTAGCCCGAGGCCATAGGTTAACTAGTGACATTTTGAGTTACTGATCACCTAAAGATACTAAAGAAAATAAAATGTTCTTGTACTAGTACTTTAAGATTTAATTTATATAAACTGATATTTTAAACACTATGAGTCTAATTAATTAGTTGGCATTTGGAGAATATTTGATCAAAGTTGAAAAACAGAGTATTTTAGTTAAAAATCGAAAGAAAAAAAAACAGTTATCGTGTTTGTATATGAACTTCACCTAGAAAAATATTGTGAAAGTTGAAAATTCATGACCGAAACAATTATTTACTTGAAGTACTCGTAAAATATCATTTTTATATTTCACTAGTATTTTAAATATTTGATATTCAAAAACTAATAACTAAACCACCATTTACTAATTGAATTTTAATAATATTTGATGCCCAAATGTGAATAATTTTCTTCTTTTTATTTGGTCAGTAAAATGTTAAACTCTTTCTATCATGTTGGAAATTCTTTCTCTTTTTTTTTTATGTGAATATTTTCTAAAAACAATACCTTGATGTTTATTGAGGCAGAAATTCAAGAAGCAGGTTATATTAAACACGGGAAGTAATACAAGGAGGATTTTAGGCGGACTTGGGTCATCGCCGCCACGGTGCATGTCAAAATGCGGTAGATGCACGCCATGCCGGCCGGTCCATGTGGCGGTTCCGCCGGGGACTCCGGTGACTACGGAGTACTACCCAGAAGCTTGGAGGTGCAAATGTGGAAACAAGTTGTACATGCCCTAGTTATTCATGCATATGTAGCAAAAGCATATGTCAAGGTCTCACTTGTTACATTTATTGGCTAGCTAGGAATAGCAACAGAACTAATACACTCTCTCACTCTATTTTATGAGGAAATGATAGTGATAGTATGATTTACGGTATTATCTGTTTTATGTGTACATAAATTGTCAGTCAATACTAATGTAGAGCTACTTCCTCAATGTTAATTTTTTTTTTCTTTTTTTGGAGTTACCTGGACTGATTGCATGGCTCGGGCATTGGAGAGAGACAAGGCCGTGGAGCAACGGTAAATATATTTTCGTGTGACTTATAAATCATGGGTTCGAGTCATGAAATTAGCTATTGATACTTGTATCATAGTAAACTGCCTACATCACACTCTTTTGGGTATGGCCTTTCCCCGAATCCTGTATGAACGCGGGATATTTCGATCACTGAACTGCCCTTTTGGTCACCAGATAAAAAAAAAATCGAATTTAACTTTTACAAACTGACAGTTTACCTTTTTAATAATATAATTATATTTTAGCTTGTTGTGAAGGATTGCTTTTTTTCATTTTCCATGTTATTAAATCCAAATTATTATAAAAAAATTACTTGTAGTTATTTTTTAAGTCACCTGATATTATAAAAATTCGGTTACATTGTCGATGTTACATTTTCTTTTTCTAGAGTGATTGAACGGTTTGGTAGATGGGAACTCTTGGGTATTTTTTTGTAATTTCCCCTAATGAAATTCTGAAGAGAGGCACGATGTTCAAAGCAAGAGCGCAGAATTTGTTTGGCTTGTATGAGCAGTTGATTGGTGCCTCCCGCCCTCCCATATGCGTGTCATGTCTGTAGTTCAGATTTGGGGCCTTTTTGATAGAAATAACATGCAAATGCCCAATGCACCTTATAACCCTGTCCCTATCCACTGTTTGTGTAGGGCATGCGCGAGAAATACAACAACAAATCAAGGATAATTTCATAAGTGGAGTCCAAGAAGGGTAATGTGACTATCCGATAAATCGTTTTGAATACTAGCCCTTATTTTCGTTCCAAGATCTTCATTAGCTTCGTTTGATGATTCTTGATTTGCGTGCATGGTCTGTGTCTTTTTTCGAAAAATAGTTTTTTGATAATTTGAAGAAAACATAATTTTTGGCTTTAAAAATAACTTGAGTTGACTATGGTCAATATTTCGTGCAAACGATCCCGGATCGGTGTTTTGATGATACCGGTGGGTCTGTATCGTGATTTTGGACTTGGGTGTATGCCCAGAATGGAATTCGGAAGTCCCTAACTTGATTTGACTCATTTTCCCGAAAGCTAGTAATTTGAAAGTTTGAAAAATTTCTAGGTTTGACCGTAGGTTGATTTTGTGGTTAACGAGTTTAGATTTTGATGTTGGGACTTGGTATAGGCCCTTTTTACTATTTGAAATTTGTCTGCAAAATTTGGTGCAATTCGGAGTTGATTTGATATGATTCGGATGCTTAGATGTGATTTTAGAAGTTCTTGAGTTTTTCTGAAAATTTCATGCATTTTGATGTCCGGTTCGTAGTTCTAGATATTATCTTGTTATTTTGATCGCGCGAGCAAGTTCGTATGATGTTATTACACTTGTGTGCATGTTTGATTTGGAGCCCGAGGGGTTCGGGTGAATTTCGAACGCGTTACGGATTAGTTTGCATGGTTTGAGATTGCTGGTTCGGGTGTTCGTGCAAATCTCGCAATTGCGAGGTCTGGTTCGCAATTGCGAGCCTCGCTTTTGCGAACAATAGCTCGTATTTGCGAGCATGGGCTTTGCTGGATGAATCTCGCAATTGCAAGGAAAATAATCGCATTTGCGAACTATCAGGGGTCACATTTGCGAGTCTAGAGTCACATTTGCGACTCAGTGTGCCTTGGGGTGATCTTCGCAATTGCGAAGAAATTGTCCGCAATTGCAAAGGTGGGTCAGTTCGCAATTGTGAATATTTTGTCGCAATTGCGACTTCTGGGCTTCTGAGGCAGGGTTCGCATTTGCGATGCTCGCAATTGCGACATCTGCAGCTGTGTAAAAGATGGAAAACTCGGGACTAGCTCATTTTATACTATTTCTCAACCCTAAATACTCTAGAGTCAATTTTTTAAGAGACTTTTCTTCCCAAAATCATTGGTAAGCAACTCTAATCTACTTTCTTTCAATTTCCCGTTACTTTTCATGAGATTTCAACATCAAATCTAGGATTTTCATGGTAGAAATTAGGGATTTGGGTAGAATTTAGAGATTTTATAAAATTGAGATTTAGACTTCAAATTGAAGTCGTATTTCGAAACAAATCACATAATTGGGGTCGGAGGTGAATGGGTAATCGGGTTTTGGTCCGAACCTAGAGTTTTGACCAAGCGGGCCAAGGGTTGAATTTTGTTGACTTTTTAAAAAATGATCAAAATTAATTTTTTTCACTCATGGGTAGCTTCTAAAGTCTATTTTGAATTATTTGAACTATATTTAGCTAGATTTGATTGGTTTGGAGGCTAATTCTGAAGGAAAAGCCGCGGTTGTGCCTTTGGTTGCGGAACGAGATAAGTGTCGTAGTTAATATTAACTTGAGGGATTAGGACTTGTTGGTCTATTTTCTACGTGTAATACGTGTGGGGGCAACGTATATGTAAGGTAACGAGTATATATGCGTTGTCATTGTTTCTTGGTGTTAGATTATTTCATTGACTATGTTTTCCATGCCTAGAGTAGATTATTACTTCCTTAATTATTCGTCTCGTATTTATTGTTTACTTCAAAGATGTTGGATATTTTGAAAGTTGAGTTTTGTTATCATGGCACTATAATTGAAGAAAAAATTGCTTCCTACCTTGATTGTGCAGTCTTGAATTTATGTTGTTGCTTGGTGAGGAGGAGATAAAAGCATGAAGGATGTTGTTGTGCCTTATTCACATTCAATATCATATATTGAGAGGTTGCGAGAAGTAAAGCACGAAGGGTGATACCGTGCCGGAGAGTAAAAGCATGAAGGGTGATGACGTGACGGAGAGTAAAAGCACGAAGGGTGATGCCGTGCCATTTTATTCATGATATTACATGGTGCGGACGAGAGTAAAAGCACAAAGAGTGATACCATGCCATCTTTATTTCATTGCCTTAATTGATTTTCGGATTGGTGATTTACTTGGTTACATTGTTGCTTATTTCGGAAAATATTATTTGGTAATTTCGTACTTGCCGTTCTTGTGGTATTTTCCCTTTCGCATGTCCCTCCCAGTTAGTGTTTTATTTTTTTACTAGTTATTTTATTGCTTTATGTATATATATCTGTACATAGTTTTATGTAGGTGTCTTTGTCATAGCCTCGTCACTACCTCGTCGAGGTTAGGCTCGACACTTACAGAGTATATTGGGTCAGTTGACTCATGCTATACTTCTGCACTTCTTGTGCAGATACTAGTATTGGTCCCAGCGGTGTTTAGAGGTGCGTTTGCTCGGATCATATTCGCTTTGGAGACGATTTGTAGAGCTTCTGGCGTTCGCAGACCTTGAACTCTCTTTCCATTTCCTATCTTTACTGTTTATCTCATTCGAACAATTGTATTTATTTCAAACTATACTTGTAGACTTCTAGTTGCTCATGTACTAGTGACATCAGAATTCTGGGATTGAGTTAGACCGTGGTATATTATGGGTTTACTTCATGTATTTCAGCTTTAATCATTGTTAATAATTGTTATTATTTTGTTTTGAACTGTTTAATTATTAAGTTGGTTAAATGATCTAGCTAACGTTGTCTTGCCTAGCAAGTGAAATATTAAGCACAATCACGGTCCTGAGGGTGGGATTCCAGGTCATGACAAGTTGGTGTTGCGGATGCAGGGTCGGATTTGTGTACCTAATGTGGATCGGTTTCGTGAGTTGATTCTTGAGTAGGCCCACAGTTTGCGATATTCCATTCATCTAGGTGCCACCAAGATGTATCAAGAATTGAGGCAACACTATTAGTGGATAAGGATGAAGAAAGATATAGTAGAGTATGTGGCTCGGTATTTGAACTGTCAGCAGGTGAAGTATGAGCATCAGAGGTCGGCCGGTTTGCTTCAGGGACTTGAGATTCCTGAGTGAAAGCGGGAGCGTATTACCATAGATTTCGTATTTGGGCTCCCACGAACTTTGAAGAAATTTGACGCAGCATGGGTCACTGTGGATAGGTTGACAAAGTGGCAGCTACCTATTATTCGGAACAACTGGCTCAGATCTATATCCGTGAGATTGTTCTTCTCCACGGCGTGCCTGTGTCTATTATCTCCGATCAAGGCACACATTTTACATTGCATTTCTAGAGAGCCGTACAGTGCGAGTTAGGCACGCGAGTTGAGTTGAATACAAAATTTCACCCTCAGACGGACGGGCAGTCCGAGTGCACCATTCAGATCTTGGAGGATATGCTACACGCTTGTGTTATGGATTTTGGGGGTTCTTGGGATCAGTTCTTGTCGCTTGCAGAGTTCGCCAACAACAACAGCTTCCAATCGAGTATTCAGATAGCTCCTTATGAAGCCTTGTATGATATGCGATGTCGTTCTCCAGTTGGTTGGTTTGAGCCGGGAGAGGCTCGATTATTAGGTACCGACATAGTTCGGGATGCCTTGGAGAAAGTCAAGTTGATTCAGGATCGGCTTCGTATAACACAATCTAGACAGAAAAGTTACACTGATTGGAAGGCCGGTGATGTGGCATATATTGGTCCTTTTGAGATCCTTGAAAGAGTTGGTATGGTGGCCTACAGACTTGCATTGCCACCCAAATTATCAGTAGTTCACCGGTGTTCAATTTTTCCATACTCCAGAAGTATCACAGTGATCCGAATCATATACTAGATTTCAGCTCAGTCCAATTGGACAAGGATTTGACTTATGATGAGGAGCTGGTAGCTATTCTATCCTGGCAGGTCCGGGAGTTGAGGTCTAAGATTTATCCTTCAGTTAGAGTACAATGGAGAGGTCAGTCGATTGAGGCAGCTACGTGGGAGTCCGAATCAGATATGCAGAATAGATACCCACATCTTTTTACCAGTCCGGGTACTTTTCTATGTCCGTTCGAGGATGAACATTTCTTTTAGATGTGGAGAATGTGATGACCCGATAGGTCATTTTGAATACTAGT